CTTAGAGGAATGTCATACGAGGAAAGGTTAGTTGACCTAAATCTGTTCAGCCTCAAGCAAAGGAGACTGAGGGGGGACATGATCCAGGTGTATAAGATTCTAACAGGTTTGGATGTTGTTCAACCAAATAGTTACTTCAGCATTAGTTCAAATACAAGAACTCGTGGTTCAAACTGGATTTAAGGAAGCACTTCTTTACACAGCGTGTAGTCAGAGTATGGAATAGTTTTCCTGATAACATAGTGCAAGCTGAATCCTTGGGTTCCTTTAAATCAGAGCTAGATAAGATTTTAACAACTGAGCTATTAGTTAAGTTCTCCCCAAGCGAGCTTGATGGGCCGAATGGCCTCCTCTCGTTTGTATAGTTCTTATGTTCTTATTAGTGTTTACCTGGCAGGACAGGACCTGTCCCTTTGCACTATAACCATCATCTCAAGTGTAAATAATTCAAGAAGTCACTGTTATTAGTGCTTCCTCTGCTTAATGCTAATCTGTCCGCAGAACCCATTTTTACATGTAGCCAAAATGTGGACTTTATCTTTACGAGGACACTGTCAAAGGCTTGTATGTATTGGTGTATACAGTATGTACTGACTAGTTGTGATCTTTCTGTATAAGCTCTGCCATCAAGTCTCCTCAGTCCTCGCCACTGTAGTTTGCGGAGAAGTGCTGCATAGATGCACAGAGTGTGAAGACCCAGATTATGCAGGGATCAGGAGAAATGCCTCGGGTATTGTGAGCTCTATTAGTTTAACTTCCTTTCTTTTCAGCCAATGAGGGATGTGTGCAGAAGTCTGTCTTTCAGACATGCAAACTTAGTTGCATCAAGTTTTTAAGAGTGCACCACATGTGACCTTGATAATGTAGCCTGGTTCTATATGCATGGTGGAGCTAAGCTTATCAAAATGGTGACCAGATTATGGGAGGGAAGCCGACAAGTGCATTTTTCAACCTTCTGGTTTATTTTCAGCCGGAAAAATACAGAAATTATATGAAAGGTAACAAAACCAAGCAAACTGTTTTCTATGTTCATTTGAATGCTAAGCAAACAAATATCTGAAAAACTGATTCTTTTAGCAAAAAAAAAAATAGCTGATGCCATGTTAACAGATACTACTTCTGTACAGCCATACGTATCACTTTTAAAGACCATCTGGTCACTTCTTATGAAAAGCAAATTAAATTCTCCCAGCAATTATAAACATTAGAAATGTATAGTGAAAAACAAAAAACACTTGTAACAGGTTCAAAATCAGAAAACAGCATCAAGTAGCACATGGAATACAAATTCACTGTATTACAATAAGGACTGCAGTTTCAAACAAGCGCTTCCCTTTAATGTGTTTTTTTTCCTCATCAAGTGGTGTGCCGAGTGAACAGTCAATGAAAAACATTTCACAACTGCAAACTACCAAAAACTGTTTGGATTAGTAAAGGTGGACCTGGCACTACAGTGTGATGGACAGAAAAATGAACAGAATCCACTTTAGGAGCCATGAAACAGGTGCATGGTGCTCAAGACTGTGTGCTTATACTGTTGTTCAGCCTTCACAGATGTGTTGTGTTCTAACTGGCTGCTGACCTCATCAATGTTCTCAGCAGTGTCCCCAAACCCATGGTAATGTCCATAGTGCAAACTATCCCTCAGGTCTGCCTGCTCGAAAGGCCTCTGGGTGACACAGCCACTGGGACTGTCACCAAGATGCAGGGAACCACACATGTCAGACTGGGGGTCACTGCCCCTGGCCTCTGGACCCTGCTCAGAAAACCCCATAGCGGATCCATTCTCAACAGAGTTGGCCACTGTCGCTTCCCAATTGGTCGAGAAGCCATTATTCAGCACGGATTCGCCTCCATTGGTGTGTGCTTGAGAGCATGGTTTATTAGCTGAAAATCCGTTGGTCAGCAAAGTCTTCTGTGGCGTATGACAGTTCCTCAAACCTATTACTAAAGGGTCACCTGCCATTTAAAATGAAATGATATTCAATGATGCTTGTGACAGTGCAGTTAAATGACATTTTACTTTATGGTTACACGTGGTCCTAAGTAAACAAAAGCACTGCTTTACAGTATAGACAATGACTGGGGGAAAACCCATTTTGATTTTGTTTTGCACATATAAATCACTTTATTCGTTCCCCCATAAAAGAAGTATGTCTAAAACTGCATTTAAAATCACACAAAACAAAATAGGACTTATTTCTGATTCTCAAAAGATGGTTAGAAATAATGTATCTGAACTGTTAACAGAACTATAGCACAGCATTTAAGGACTTTTTTGCCTTAAACTTAAGTGTTATTGCTGCCCACAAATCAAAGACTAGTAAGCATAGCATTAAATATTCATGTTAAAAGTTAAAATCTTTAGAAACAGTGAATATGGGGTCAATGTCTACATACTGTATCCATACAAAACAATCCAGTATACTGTCTGAAGTGAAGAGAGGTTGCTATAGTCCCAACTAGCTGGAAATCAACAGCTGCAATTCCATTTCATGGTCACTAGAAGGTGCAATGCAACAGTCAACTAGAGCCACTGCAGGATTTCTGAACATTTACCAGAATGAATCAAACGTTATGAATTTAATGGGACCATTTGTCCATGTAGAATGTTTTAAGCAGATTGCTGCGTTAAGTCAAAGTTTCAGAAAGCTATAGTTCACATGCAAGATGTTGGAAGCTCTTTTGTTAAAGATGGTGTTTTTTTTGGAACATCATGGCTAGAGACAGTAGATAACTAGTGCTCCCTGTCTCGTTGCTGAGGCAGACACCATGAAAGTGAAGAGGATGCATTTTAATTGCTGTATGCAATGGCTTTAGTTTCAATCAACAATTGCATGTCAGTGTAAAATCTGATAATGTGCACAGATACTAAAAAATGTCTGACACCTTTCATCTTTTTAGACAGAACAATGTGATGATTCTGACATTATCAGTACAATTAACATTAATAAACATTTTTAAAATGTCTCGGTACACTGTAGTTTCAGTTTCAATACTTTACCTTAACAGTATACCACACACAACCAAACATGCCACAACTGGCATCATATTAAATGAATGCCAACCTGTTCGCTAAAGCAGTATCAAGAAATACATTTTGTTAATAAAATCTATGCAAAAGCCAGCTGCGTGACATCTTGCCACAAACCCTGTATCTTCTGACACTCGTGAGATCAGCCATATCCATCATTACAATTGAAACTGGCAAGAAAAAATAACCCATAGAAAAATGTATTGGTTGATAGCTGTCTAAAGTATGAAATCGTGTTTACGCCATGGTTGCTTTGCACAGTGGTTTCAATGTTATAAATTATGTTTTTGATTTGCCCACTGAACAGCAACAACATCAGAATAACAATAATAATATAACCATGAGACCAATAACGTGGAACACTGATGTCTCAGATATTAGCACAATTATTCTAACATATTGTAACATAGACAGACAATTTCTTCAACACAGTCCATTTGTCATCTGAGCAGCTTTTACTCAGGTCTAAGACTGGCTAAAAAAAAAAACCTAATTAAAAAAAAGAAAACAGAAAATTCAACCATATATTACACTGCAAATCTTGTCACATACACTCAGAAAAGGTACTTAGAGGTTATGGAATTACACTCAGTGTAGCACTTGTATTTTATGGGTGAACTTGACATTTTGAGATCTACTAAGCAATTTGTCATTTTATTTTGATATCTCAAGTCTACCTATACCAGAATAAATAACTTTTGTAGATTGCTATCTAGCCAAAAAATACTCCTATGGTTTGCATTCAGAGTTTGATCTGGAGTCAACGATACCACCCAATGGACAAAAATTCCACGCGATTGTTCAGTTCACTGCTATTAACATTCATCCTTCCACTATGAATGAAATGTGGGAGCATGCATTGACATGGTCACACTCAAGAAAAGGACCTAACACTTGGTCATTATTAAGAGGTCAACACCCAACATAAGTTGTTCACCTTCAAGCCATTAATAGATAATGGCGCAATGTATCTCAGGACAGAAATGAAGCCGAACACCAGCCAAGACAAAACTGTCAAACACACACAGATACATTCAGATTGGAGAAGAGAAAAGTTCAAGTAAGTATCCACTTAGTCACAACCAGACTGGTTCTGAATCCATTGATTATTTAATGAGATTACAATACAGATCTCTGGGAGAGAACCATCAAGCCGAAAACAGATATCAAATTTTATGTGTGCCATTGAATCAATTTTCAAAAACGAAACACTGCTGACAGAATTTTATACACCTTACTGTCCCTATCAAAATGTATGCATAAATAATGCATTTTAAAAATGTTTTACTCAGCAATTTTTTCTAGAAATAAGGCAGGGTTCCATAATTCTATAGAATGTAATCTATAAAACGTTTATACATCACATTCACTTACGTTAATATGAGTTTTATTTCAACAGTGCATTTTAAGCCACAACTGCTACTCAAGACTACTGTACTGAGTATGTGAAAAATTGAAGTACAAAAAGAGCCACAAGACATACAGTATTTCATCTATATATAAGAACTGCACTACTTAAAGAGACTAAGGGTACACAGCCAAAAGAAGAAGATTAAAAAACGCTTTATCCTGAGTAATCTTAACCAACAGCAACGGGACAGAATAATGTGTTATAGCACCTTTCATTGTTATAGTTGAGCTGTTACTGAGCTACACAGTGAGTATATAAGCTGAAATATGCTTTGGCAAAATGAGCAAATTATGAGTGATAAAAAAAAAAATTATGAAAAGGATTGTCGTAAATTAGATTACCTGAACAGTACCAACATGGAAACAAGGAGTAAAAATTTAACTGAATGTGAAACAAAAAGAGAAGCTGATAGGAACTGGACAAGAATCTTTAGATCTTTGTTGAGACCCACATGGTTTAAAAGGCTCTGCGGAATCTTGCAGGGACCAGCTCCTTCTGTTGTCTGGACAATGCAGGCCTACAGGCCAAGCTTCAGGACAAGCCTCTCTTAGCAAACACACATGCACTGAAAGACGCATGAGTAATCCTTAAATTGAGGGGACCCCCACACATAGAACATAAAGCAACTAAAGCATTCAGGGGTTCACATGGGATAATTATTACAATATGGAACATAATGGAGAAAAATTGTGCAAAACAAATTGCAAAATGGGTCTCCCTTTTCAGTCAACAGTTCAACTACTGCAAAACTTAAATCAGTAATGCTATGACAGTATAATATACATTTTTTAAGAGAATGAAACAAATTTAAGCATTGTAACACACTTAATGAATTCAAATTTATCCATATCTACATGGAATAATGTAAATATTCGTGGATACTTTCTGCATTATACGGATGTGTATATAATCGGCATGCAAAAAGACCCGATACCAATGAAGGTTACACAGCGGCAAAGAGAATCTAGTGTAAATAGGGGAGACTAACAGTAGAGAAGCGCTGAATATATCTGCGCACTACAAATAGGCATATGAATTTGTGCAACGGCACGGGATCTGCATGGAAGTCACAGTGATAATCTCCAGCTCTTTGGGTGTAGGAGAAGTGCCTTCTATAGCCATGTGGTCCTGTGTACTCTCTGGGCTTTTGGTGACAAACGGAAAGAAGGATCCAGTCCCACCTGAACTGAGTGCTGTGGATGATTCTGTGTGCATACTCTCCAGCTCCTCCTCAACACTGCTGAAAAGCTTCATGGGAGAGTCCAAGCCTGGCAGTAAAGCATCACCAACAATCATTGCATTTTAGATACAATACAAGCTTATGATTAAATGGTTCACAACTTACAGAGCATCCTCAGGAACCCACATCACCTAGCACACGCTCTGCTCAGGCATGAACACTTTACATATAACCTGAGACACTGCAGGCCGGACAGTATCATCATACATAAAGCACGTTTTTAAAACCGTTTCTTTTCAACCACAGTCAGACTGGTGGCAAAAGACATAAGGGAAAAATATGCAGACTTAATCTCAGATGTGCAATATTTTTAAAACAATAGCTGTGTGGGTTTAGTGTTGTTTTACAGTGTGTTCAAGATTAATTTAATGTAGTGCTATGGTACAATATTCAGATGAGCTAATTTTATTAGTATTTTAAAATGAAAATCTGTGTTTTATTGTGTCATTTCACTTCTTTCTTTTTTAACAATGTCTTTTTTTAGCCTGCACCTTGATAATGGGTATTTCACTACTTTACAGTGTTTCAAAATTACCTATTTTTGCACCTCAATGTTTGAAAGTGGGTATGTAATTGTATTTTACAATGTCTTCTTACTACTTATTTTGTGTCATTACCCATCCTGGCTTTTAATTCTCTTCTTCACTGCTGACTCCAAGAGCTTTGCACAAAAATTCCCACACATCCAGTGTTTGGGCATGTACAAATGGCAAATACATCTCTTGAATCCACATAAATCATTATAAATTGCATCAGAGTAAATACACAAGAAAATGCAAGGACCTACCATCAGTTCTGGCCTTCTTGATGTGATTGGACTCCATGCAATCAAGAGACCTCTTTCTATTTGGTGCCCCATTGAAGAGGCTTGGTGCTTGGATTTGTGGACGGAGGCCATTAGGAGCCCCATTAGGACAGAATTCATTGAGGTGGTTCTGCATGTTAGAGAGGAGCTGAGCACACTCCTGGAAGCCCTGGGCTTGGGCCAGGTCTGCTGCGGTGAGCCCACTGGCGTTTCTTAAGCTGCACAATAAATGAGCGCCCATTACCAGCCGTGCAGCCACTCACGCGCTCGCACACACACAAGTCACACACTTCTGTCTCTGCTGCCCTAATACTACCAGTCATTTACCTGAAGGTGATATGAACACAGAAAATTTAACATTTTTTCCCCCCAACAATTGTTAGTAACTTAAAGAAAATAGCACAGTGAACCCCCATTTTAAGATATATTTGTACACACTGCAATCGGAGGTGAGGAGAGTATTGCAAATGTGGAACACATCAGAACAATGCCTAAACCACCAGATACACTGCCCCTGAAATGTCCTTAAAACCAATACAAAGAAAAAAGGCCCATTTTAAATGCTTATCAATAAATGAAAAGCTAAAAAAAATATAGAAAATATTTTCCTTCTGGGGAGGGAAAAACACGAAAGAGGCTGAAAATCACATGGGCATCCGATTTGTTGTGGTTAAGTAAATTTCTTGTATAAATGCAGAACATGCGTATTATGATAAAGATGTGATTCCATAAAATGAGAAGATCATGCCATCTGAGTGCCCCCAGGAAAATGGGAAAGGATGGGAAAGGAGGAGAAAAGGGATGATTTCCAGACCAAGCTTGAATTTAGAACACTGATGTCTTCAGTCTTCCAGTGATGCTCAAAAGGCAGGGAGATGAACTAAAAAGACACAGAACCTCAGGTCAGGAAAACATGCTTTCTATGGGATACATGAAAGTCCCCAACTGTAACCCAATTCAGGAATGACACTGGGTAAATGTGTATTTATCCAGAATGACTGACATTACAAGTAATGAAAGAAATATTCAGAAAGATAGGATGAAGCAAGTTCCAAGTCCTTGCAAACGGCCAAAAGAAAGCACCACAAATAGGATGAATAATTAGCTCCACTAAATTAAACTAGTGATACTCTTGGGATCAGCTGTGAACAGCTAAACTAAAATAAAAGGTATGAAAGCAGGAATGTACATATTTTAATGGACTGTATGTCTTCATGATATAGTTTTAATGTAATCCAAAGAGAAGCTATAGATGAACAGCAAGTGGAGGGACACAGGGCACATGGAACCGGAACACTGGAATCCAGCTAACTGGAGAAGACGTGGAGGGACACAGGGCACATGGAACCGGAACACTGGAATCCAGCCAACTGGAGAAGACGGAGCTGGATAAAGGTGCTGTCAATGAGAAAAAATGAGAAAGCGGCCATTTCATAGAATGGCCAAAAACAATTCCCAGTGTTTGTTTACTTAAAAGCAAAGCTCCATGATATTAAAACCTCCCATCAGTGATTCAGGCACATCTTTAAGGGCAGTTCCACTCATCTCCTATTGCAGTGTGAGGCTAAATGTTTCTAAGAATTTATAAACAAACAAGCTGCCCCAATGCATGGCTTTAACTGCTCCACTTACCGGAATACTGTTGCACTTCCCTGCCCAGTGTTTAGGCAATGAAACAGATGTAAAAATGTCACTTGGGGTTGCTCACCAGAGTGTCTGCACAACAGCGACCCAGAGATTCCCAACTGACTCAACAACAGCTTCAATTAACAAGCAGGATACCTTTGAGCACAGAAAATGGCCTTGTGACATGATAAACATAACTACTACATCTTCACACCTATATTATCTAACGTTGCAATTTCAATGACATCATAATTTCCTACATTATATACAAACCATTTGATAACCATTTATATCAATAGGTAACAATCTGAAAAACCAGAAGACCAATCAAGCCCAATTTTTAACAACGTGGACTGATACTTACAGCTTGGTTAAATAGCAGAGCTCATTCTGAATGTTTGAATGTGTTAGGGCTAAGTATGCAACACCACAACAGCAATTCATTACCAGTTATCAGAATGAATTATTTTTTAACCTCTGTCTTTAGATTAATGATATAATTTGAGGGCAAATTATTTTTCTGTTATATATTCCTGACCTGGATCTGTTGAGAAACATAATAATCATTTTTTTTTTAAGTGGCCAAATGGAGCTTTCCCAGTGAAATCATGCCGTACTTAAAGCTCTACAGTCAAAGTTCACAGTCATAATTTTTTTTATTATTATTTATATCCAAATCTGGACATAATGACCTGATGGTTGTTAGGGAAGAGGGAAAAAAAGATTACAACTAAATAAATGAAAATAAATTATAAACAAGTCACTGAAAAAAACTGTTAAAAACATCCTGCATAAAACAACCTTTCATGAGCTGTTACTGAATAATGTGACTGGGCATTATTTCAATAACTAGCCATTTGACTCAGCAGGAAAGGTCAGGATGACGATTGACATTTTTCATGAGCAGCACTCAGCTCAACCATGCGGTGTCATGGGTGTGAACTGCCAAAACATTTCCATTAGCAGCCAGGAGTCTGACCCTCCATAGTAACAGTAAAGCTAAAAATTACACACCAAAATCTCACCAGGAACAACAGTCTCTTTGTACTTGCCCTTCAATAAGATCGAGTGCAACAGTACATTTTATACTTTCCAATGAACTATACGTTTACTAAATTTTAAACAAAACCTTTTTCAATTAAATAAATAAGATTCTATCAGGCACTCGGGTGCAGCAACTCAAGCAACATGTGACATTGATTAACAGATCGCCCATGAACATTTAGAGGCAGTTTGTTCATTCACAAATTCACTACACTATGATATACATTTATGCAGAACTTAAATTTCCTCATCACTTCCATAACAGTGTCACACAAAAAAAAAAAAAATCAAGAAAACAAAATGCATTAGAGAAAAACAAAAATATTTAAAAGTGCTAAAAAATACAATCTGTCTGACCTACATAGACCATCAGCTAAGAAAAAAATTAAATGCTTCCAACATGTTTAACTTCAACAGAAGTTTTGTTTCCATTTCCCCCAATATAACAGGACCAGCGGGTCTCAATAACTCCCTATGCCTGACAACCAGGTTTAGATGAAAAACAACAACTTTTCATATCATATGAAAACTGTAAATTTCACTGCATCCTATAAGAAAATCACACTAGAAGCAAAGCTTTGAAAGACTTTTGATAACACAAACCAACAGCTCCTCTCCTCACAAGCAGGCAAAACAAAGAAACATTAAAATTTAAAATCAACTTACTAGCATCATTTTATCCCATGATAAGGTGCCAAAAGACACGAGTAATTCCAACTTTAAGTAAAACAAATGCATGTTTTGCAATTTATCAATGCAGACATCGATAAAAGCAGGAAATTGTATTGCAGTGTCAAAGTTCAAATTTACATAGCTGATTTGTGCGTGCAAACCTGTGCCAAACTTAAATGCCGTAGTTTTCCTTGAATCGCAAACAAATAACAGAACAGAATTTTCTTCAAAAGCTAAACCTGCTAAATTGGAAAGGAAATACTTTAAAAAAAAAATTATGCTCAAAAAATCTAAACTGAGAATTTTTGTAGTATTCAACATTACAAAATCTGTTTTACGCATTTTATGTTGCAAGTTAATGTTCTACCGAACTTTGAGCACAAATTGAATATGATTATTACCTTCCAGGTATAATATGATGAGTGCGCAGCCCTGAAAAATGAATTGTTAAACTGTTTGGTTAGTAATGATCTATGACTTCTTGCACATACATTTATGTTATTCATATATACTACAATGACTGTCTTTTTACATAAAATTGTTAACGTTTACATTAAAATCTGATGCTCCATGTACTTTGCAAAAACCCACATGTATTACATATTAATTGATACAGCAAAAAACTATTTCACAAATATAAATTGCACCAAAAAGAACTAGCATCGTTTGCAAACTTTACTTTTAACACATAAAGACATTAATTTGTGAATATTAACTTTCCAACTCCATTGGCATACTAGGTGTTTCCCTCCATTTCTCTAAATTAGAAATATAAAAGGAAAATGCAACTGAAATTCTATAGTGTTTCTGTTTGTATTCCAACAAGAAAAACAGCAGACAATTTAGGCATCAAGATACAAATTTTCTGTTTTGATTTGGCACAAATTGCACACAAAAAACAGGAAATGAATTAAGACAAAGCAAGTGAAGTTTACAGCACTGAAAAACATACATTTATATAAACGTGAAGGCAGGAATGGGATTGTAAAGCTTCATTGCATTTTTTCAGCTTTCAATAATCAATCTGGGTGGATTTTCTCAGCTGGCAAGCAACACTGAAAAAGCTTTGTTCTCCACTGTCCTGGAAAAAAGCAAAATAATGCAGCATTGTGTGGTTCAGCTATGCAGCCTATACTGGACTAAAGATGACTGTTATAGTGCCAGAGCTTCTCTGTACCAGCCGTACTTTGCCACAGTCTCCCTTAATCATTTTCAGTTGAAAGATTAAAAAAACCAAGTAGTCTGAAAGCTCACACTACCTGCCAGCCACTCATACAACTCCGCTATATCCCATACCCATTCCTAACAGCCTACTCCTTATCACAGAGTAGGAAATCTGCAAGAGGTGTAGAACCAAAACAAGTTGTACAGGATGGCAGCTGGTTCAGACTGGATCTCACCTGCCCAACGAAGGTCTGTGCATACCAATTAGCACCTGCAGTGACCAACTTGTTTAAATGATGATCTACCCAGAGTAAGACTCCTTCATTAAACAATTCTGACAAAATATTATGCCTTAATTACCAGAGATGCATCACTTATGACATCTGCTGTCTTGAAAACCCTTAAGTGGAACATTCTATTCCATCTCAAAGCTCTCATGAACTTGTGTGTTCATCCTCTAGTTAGCCCACTTTCCTCTTGGTGAGAGGCAATTCTGTAAACACAGGGCCTCACTATGTACTAGAACATCGGGACAGCTGAAGTACACGTGTGAGGATCCGGTACAATAATTTCAGCTTGACTTTAGTAGAGTTAGACCAGATCTTATGTGAACTGTCACAGCTAAACATCACCCTACCCACTTCCTGACAAATATAAACAGGTGTGTGGGGCTGCAACACTACTTGCCAGACATTCCCACCATTACCACCAG